ACCCCAGTGGCCCAGCTGCAGAGCGCACTGCCCACCAGGCTCCATTTCCTTGCTGGATAGTAGGGGGCGAGGTAACTGAAGCCGGAGGTGTGGGCCCCGACGGACAGCCATTTAGGAGGCTCTGCGAGCATGTCACCCTCAGTGCAGGCGGCTGTCGCGGGGGGCGCGGGGGCGGCGTCCGGGCCCGCTCGGCACCCCCCGCTCCCTCCTCAGGCCCCCGCTTTCTGCTCCCGCAGGTGGCGTGGACACAGCTGCCGTGGGCTCCGTGTTCGACGTGTCCAACGCCGATCGGCTGGGCTCGTCCGAGGTGGAACAGGTGCAGCTGGTGGTGGACGGTGTGAAGCTCATGGTGGAGATGGAGAAGAAGCTGGAAAAGGGCCAGTCCATCGACGACATGATCCCCGCCCAGAAGTAGGCGCCCAGCCCGCCCGCCGCCGCCCGCTGGAGCCCCCGCCGAAGGGAAGGAAGGCCCGGCCCACTGGAGACGCGCCCCTGGCCCCCGGAGGCCGGCCTGCCATGGCTTGGTCACCGAGGGGCCCACCCAACCCTTCTCGGAGTTCCTCTTCCAACCAGAGTTCCAACCAATGGGCTCCTCCTCTGGGTTCCGGCCAATGAACAACCTCTACTTTTCCCCGAGCTCTGCAATGGGGAGTGTCCTCCACACGTGGCGCTCATGCTTTTCTCCACTCAAAGCAACAAATAAAAGCAATGGTGGCCTTAACCTGGTGGGCCCCTTATTGAGGGAGGAGGGGGGACTTTTGTAACTGGCTGCTATGTGACCTCGAAGTGGTTTGCCCTCTCTAGGCACGTTCTGTCCCCGATGCGGCCAGGTTAGGGTATAGAGCAGTGATGGCGAACCTTTTGAGCTCGGCGTGCCAGCATTTTGAAAAACCCTAACTTAACTCTGGTGCTGTGTCACGTATAGAAATTTTTTGATATTTGCAACCACAGTAAAACAAAGACTTAAGCCGGGGCCCTTCCAACCTCGGCTCCTGCTCATAGTGGCTCAGTCTCAAACACAGGGCGCAGGAGGGAGGAACCCAGGCGTGTCCGGGACCTGAAACTGGCCCGCGGGCTTCCAGTCGAGGCCTCACATGCAGGTCCTCACTGCGCCTCCTTATGCCTTCCACAGGCCTCCTGTGAGGTCTGACTTCCTCCCTCTGCTGCTGCTACATCTTTTCACCTTCACTTTGCCCAAGAACCCGCCATAGCTCCCGTGTTCCTTAAAAGGCATTCCTATTACCGGTCAAGCCAGAATGCACTCCCTTTGCTGAGGCTCATTTTTCCTGTTCTTCCCCGCGGTTCCTCTATACAGTGGGGCCTTGACTTACGAGTTTAATTCGTTCTGTGACAGAGCTCGTAACTCAAATTTCTCGTATGTCAAATCAAAAAGTGAACGAGTGAGACACGTGATGCTGGGCTGATGTTGTGGGTTCACTGTGACGTTGGCTGCGCCAACTAGCGATGGGGTATCTGAAGCTGGCCGTAACCCGAATTTTAGCTCGCAACTCAAAGCAAAAAATCGGCCGAGAGACGGCTCGTATCTCGAAAAACTCGTTAGTCGGGACACTCGTAAGTCAAGGCCCCACTGTATACTCTTTGCTCCTTACACTTGCAATTTCCACCTTGATGTCTTTGCGAAAGCTGTTTCCTCCTCCAGCAGGGACTTGGGGCAGGGTATCCCCATGCAGTCTCCAGAGACTGGCCTTCTGGAGAGCTTGGTCCCGAGGAGCAGGAAGGAGGAAACTGAGGCCCAGGGATCCCCAAGAATCCCCAGAGAGACGACAGAAATAGGAAGGGTAGGAGCGGCTCCCAGGATTCCTTTAGACTGTCCCCAACTGAGGACCCATCACTAAGCCCAGCTCCACCCAGAGGCCACACAGGTCACGACACTGCAGGGGGGACAGGCTGAGTCAGTCAATCCGCAGCCCAGGCGTCCGGCAGCTGCCATGCCCATCCTGCCCATTTGCCTCGTATGTCTTAAACCCACCCTTTTCCTCCCCACCTTCGGTCGGTCCTGCCCCCACCTCTTCCCTACTCTTTAAAAAAAAATTCATTTCTTGATGAGAGAGATCTATTTGTTGTTCCACTTATCATGCATTCATTGGTTGCCTCTAGGATGTACCCCCTGGGCATCAAGCCCACAACCTTGGCCTCTGGGGACAACGCTCTTATCAACTGAGCTACCTGGCCAGGGCCCTGTTCCCTCCCTTCACAGCACAAACCTGCCCCTGCCTCCCCCTTGCTCACAACCAAGGGTTTCCAGGGCCCTCAGAATAGGGCCCAGGCCCCTCTCCACAATCTTCAAGGCCCTGTCAACATCTCCAGCCTCCTCTCACCCTGAATCATAGGCCAGTTGCTGAGGAACCTGCACTCCCTTGCTTCCCAGCCAATCAATCATACAGGCTGTCCCTCTACCAGAACTCCCGCACCATGCACCTCACCGCCCCACCTATCTGCTCCTTTCAGGGAGCCTCCCCCCCCCCCCACCTCCCATGGCTGAGGCTGGCTCCCCTTTGCCCCCCCCAGCACTGCTCAGTCTGGATCAGCACCAAGGACACAGCTGCCTCCTTCACTGAGCTGAGCTGAGCCCTGAGGGCAGGGCTGGGGCTGTCTTTGTCACCACTGTGTCCCCAGCACAGGGCTGGTTCCCCCACCCCCCCTTTCCTGGCCTCTCAACTATAAACAACTTTCAGCAGTTCGCTCTCCTGGCCTCCACGACAGGGGTGCCTTTCTGCTGCAGGACCTGAATTTTTCAACACCCATCACTCAATCTCTGCCATCCTTTATTCCTTGCCTATCAGCCTCATGAGGAGCTAGGGTTGACCCTACCATGCCCCAAGCGGGAAACTGAGGCACAGTTAGGGCTCTTTCCTGCACACAACCCGCCATGGCTCTTCAGTGCCTGGGATATAAACCCAGCTTGCTCACTTTGGCCCACAAGGTGCTGGGTGAACAAGACCTGCCTTCCCATACTGGACTTTTAATAGACAAGCAGTCCTCAACTGCTTGTCTATTAATATATATATCTATATATATAGTTATTCCTCATCTGAGGATTTTTCCATTGCTTTTCAGAGTGCAAGGGAGGGAGGGAGAGAAACATCGATGTGGGAGACACATCAATTGGTTGCCTCCCGCATGAGCCCTGACCTGGGGGCAGGGAGCAAATATGCAACCCAGGTATGTGCCCTTGACCAGGAATCGAACCTGCGGCCCTTCAGTGCACAGGCAGACACTCCAATCACTGAGCAACTGGCCAGGGCAACTGCTTGTCTATTGATCTTTCATTTCCCTGCTGTTCAGGACTCATGGACTTTCCTCTGGGGAACCTCGACATACAGCCCTTGCCAATTGGTTCAGGGATGGTCACATGACCTATCTGAGCCAATTAGAATCTGTCTTGGAACTTTTGCTGGAAGTTGGCAATAAGGAACTTTCTGCTGCAGGAACTAAACTGGAGCAATGAAAGTTGGAACTGCTGGGGTCACTTTGCCAACAGGGAGTGTCTACTGGATAAAACTACTAGAATGAAACTCACGCTGAAGAAGAAAAAAAAAAAAGCAGAGATGAGATGATCTGCTGCCTGGACCCAGCCACACCCAGTCAGGCACCCCGACTATTAAATAACAAGCAAACAAATAGCTTTTAGCTTAAATGTAGATGGATTATTAGTCCTAATTCAGCATTGATCTTGCTAATTCTCCCGGCCACACACACACATAGCAGCCCCAATAAATTACCCACAGTTCTCTGAAGATATACCATGCATCCCAGCTTCTGTCCAGGGCATACCCAATACCTGGTAAACTCCTACTCATCCTTCAAAACCCAGTTCTGGCATCGGTTCTTCTGGAATGCCTTCCTCAACCTCCTTTCTCTTCTGGGATCCCCCAAACAATGGTTTTAGTGTTTGTCATAACCCACGTCCCCCGTAGACAGGGCTCCTTCTGTCTCCATGTCCAGCACTGGCCTGGCACGGAGTAGGCACCGATCAATGACTGTTTATTGAATAAATGTACTACTGGAGTAGGAACTGGCTGAGAGTCCAGTATAACATGTGGGTGGGCACGTGAGTGGATGAATGGGGGTCCCACCTAGGAACTGGGGGCCTGTGGATGAGGCTTTCTGTTCTACAATCATCCTTGCCCCTCACACCCCCACTCCTCCCATTCTGCAGATGAGAAAACCGAGGCTCAGAAAGGAGAACCACTGGCCCAGTCACACCCCCCCCTCTTCACCTCACGTGTAGATTGAGGGAAGGGAAGGAAAACCCCAGGGAC